CATCGGTTCCCAATTGCACAGATCGATGCTCATGCTGTTGATGACTGGATTATCTGGTCCAGACTCGAATATTTACAGATCGCCGCCATATAGCTGAAATATTGCTGAGTGCGGCGTAAAACTAATCTCACTCCCTCACTCACTACTATTCAGTATTTACGCCCAATGGAATATAGGATTAGATTTCGGCATATAACTGATCATGATTAGGCGGTGACGTTTTAGACTATCAACATGCTTCTTAAACCATGGCATCTCAAATATTCTAAACTTAGCTACTTTGGCGCGTGTATGTGTGCGTCTGCGTGCGAGTGCGTACGTATGGAAGTGGATGTCCACTATATTCACAGGCGGTGGGGTAGCCTAGTGATTAAAACGTTCGCTTGGGTACAATGTGTGAAGGCAAATTCTGGTGTCCTCCCATGTGATATTGCTAAAAGCGGCATAAAACAAAACTCACTCACTCACTCACTATATTACCATTATCTGACGAGGTCGAAGTTCTTCACACACTTGTGGACGAGGACGGTATTTAATAGGGACGTATGCATGGAGTTGAACTGAGGAGAAACGACTTTCCTTTATTTTCCGATAAAGACCTGTCAAGGTTCCTCTATCTATCTATATATATTTGAGCACAGCTAAACGGTTCCACGAGAATAATGCCTGGGTATACACTGAAGATTCACATTCCAGGTCAACAACATACATAGCGACACTGTTCAAGAAAGGGTTTAGTTGAAGAAAATCGGGGTATAATTGTTCTGGGGGTGCCCCAGTGAAGAACGCCTTTTGAATTAGTCTATCTCACAGTCCCTGAAACCGCCTCCGTGGTGTAATGGGTAGAGCGTCCGCCCGGAGAGCGAAAGGTCGCGGGTTCGATCCCCGACCGCGTCATACCAAAAGACGTTAAAATATGGTACTTGTTGGTCCCTGCCTGGCGCTCGGCATTAATGGGTACAACAAGGACTGGTCGGCTCGGAGTCAGTATAATGTGTCTGAGTGGGGTATTCATGCTTCACTGCGGCATGGTATCTCAGTGGGCTAGCACTATAAAACCAGCTTCAGTCTGGGCTAGTACAAGCAGCCTCACATACACATACACACGCATGCACGTCGTCATATGAGCGAAATATTCTCAAGCACGACGTAAAACCCAATGTCACCTCACCTCACAGTCCCTGAACCACTTTACTGCTACTGCCTAGCCCTCCCTGCAATGCTAAAGCCTTAAATGAAGCAAGTCTAGATTTCCCCAGGTCCCGAATCTCCAAACTCACTGGGGCCCCTTTTCAATTTGGGTTTATTTGTCACTATAAAAATGATATATATCCAGGAACTAAGCGTTAGTCTACTATTGTATGAAAACCTTTCGCTGTGGCTAACCTCATAGTACACGCATTGGTGAATAAATAAATATGTCAGCCTGCCCTAACCGACTGGATTTACGCCCGAACTGAAACTGATACATGTTTTGTATCACATGTACCTCACAGTGATTCGTCAAGTATCAAAGGCGAGAAATTATTATTGTTTGACAGAGGAATAGAATGCAGTCCGTGGACAAAATGCAGTCCGTAACTCACCTTTGGTATAATAGAACGTGTCCTTTGTTATATTATGGGGCGGTGGGGTAGCCTAGTGGTTAAAGCGTTCGCTCGTCACGCCTAAGACCCGGGTTCGATTCCCCACAATGTGTGAAGCCCATTTCTGTTGTCCCCCGCCCCGCCGTGATATTGCTGGAATATTGCTAAAAGCGGCGCTAAACCATACTCACTCACTCACTCATTTGTTATATTAGAGGTTTTGTTTGTTTGTGTGTTTTTGTTTTGTTTGTCCTTTTTTTTTGTGTGTGTGGGTTGGTTTTTTTAACTCCCCACTAAGCATTATTTCAGCTGTATGACAGCGATCTGTAAATTATCGAGTCTGGACCAGAAAAACAGTGCTTGAGATCATGAGCATCAATGTCCGCGACTGGGATAAGATGATACGCATCTACCAGGTCAGCGAGCCTGACCACCCGATCCCGTTAGTCGCCTCTTGCTACGTATACAATATGAACATATTTGAAGAGATTTATCATTTGCCCAGTCTAACTAAATCTTGTTTTGTACTAAATGACTGCAGATAAATCTTACTACTCTAACCTATCATCGATGCTCATGTTGTTGATCACTGGATTGTCTGGTCCAGACTCTATTATTTACAGACTGTTGCCATATAGCGGGAATATTGCTGAGTGCGGCGTGAAACAAAACTCACTCACACTAAACTTGCATTTGTCGACATGATAACATCTGATTGTCATGCTTGAAAATTGGATTTGGCCAATAACGTACAAACATTATGGAAATATTCAGGCGTAAAACTTAACTCAATAATTCATAAATACATAAGAAAAAACGTGGCAAATTCTTCTATATATTTGTAGACTTCAAAAAAGCCTTCGACACTGTTGATAAGAAATAAATTAATGTATATTCTTTTGAATAATGATTTACATGGCAAAATAACCTCTCTGCTTCGCAATATGTATTCGAATGTGAGAGCAGCTGTGAGATGCAGTAAGCAGACTATGACTGATGTATTTAAGTCGACAGCCGGAGTCCGACAGGGTTGTATACTGTCTCCCGTTTTATTTATTCTATATATAGAGGAACTCGTAAACGATATTGTGAATAGCGAATACAGTGGTGCATTCATTGATGAAACTGTAGATGCATTATCTATCATATTATTTGCGGACGACGTCGCCATATTTGGAGATAGTGTCATAAACTTGCAGAAGAATATAGATGTTCTTAAATCATATTGCAAAAAATGGGGACTGTCGATTAATACCGAAAAGACTAAGATTGTTGTATTTAAAAAAGGTGGTGGACTTTCAAAAAATGAAAAATGGTTTATTGGCTCTGAAAGACTGGAATCTGTTTCCTATTACAAATATCTCGGAATAGTGTTTTCATGCCGAAACCTGTTTTCAAGAGCTTGTGAGGTTCTGTGTTAACAAGCCGAGAAGGCGTTATATCCTATCAAAAAAATTATATGTCGATTTAAATCTCTTCCCCCAGATACATGCCTTAAGATTTTTGATGGCAAAATTCAACCAATCTTGCTCTACGGCTCAGAAATTTGGGGAACAATGTATCGTCATAACATTGAAAAAGTCCACTCTAAGTTTTGCAAATTTGTCTTAGGAGTTCGTTATCGCTCTTGTAATAAAGCTGTTTTAGCGGAATGTGGAAGATATCCACTCCAAGTCAATTATTAAACAAGAGTTATATCATGCTGGATACGACTACTTAGCCAGCCAGCCACAACACACTCTAAACGTTGCTATAATATGATGAAAAATCTAGATGATAATGGAGATACTAACTGGACCTCCTCAGTTAGAACATTGTTATTTCAATACGGTTACGCACATGTATGGATCCACCAAACAGTTGGAGATCCTAATATGTTCTTAAAGCTATTCAAACAACGCTGTAGAGATATATATTACCAAGAATGGTCATCCGATATTGCAAGCTCCAAATATTTGCATGCATATTCACTATTTAAACATGACATTGTCCATGAAACATATTTAGAAGTATTATCCTCTATGCAACTCCGCAGATCTCTTACAAAATTTGGGGCGGTGGGGTAGCCTAGTGGTTAAGGCGTTCGCTCGTCACGCCGAAGACATGGGTTTGATTCCCCACATGGGTACAATGTGTTTAGCCCATTTCTGGTGTCCCCCGCCGTGATATTGCTGGAATATTGCTAAAAGCGGCGCAAAACCAAACTCACTCACTCACTCTTACAAAATTTAGATGTGGCATCAGTAAACTGAATGTACAAACCTATAGAAGATCCAAAGATGATGATATCAGTTCTGCCATGTGCGCTCATTGAGTCAATATTGTCCAGGACGAGTACCATGTTCTATTACAATGTCCTGTTTTTTCTGATTTACGCATCAGGTATATACCACAATATTATTGTGTAAATCCCAACATACAGAAGTTTGTAAATTTACTTAATACCCAAAATGCAAATGTTATTTTACGCCTAGCCATATTTGTAAACAAAATCCATAACGTTTTATGATACTTATAAATGCCAGTGTACTTCTCATGCCAGCGCTCCAAAGAACATGATGTAAAAATGTCACTGTACTTTTGGCCTCATGGCCACTCTACGAAATAAATCTGTCTGTCTGTCTGTATTCAGGCGTAAAACAGTTTCCGAAACATCTGATACGAAGCAACATACTATAACCCATAACTTTATGACCCAACACTGCCGCTGTTACAGGTCATTGGCTCCCTCCCTCTGCAAGCCGTCTGCTTTCTGCTGTTTATTTCGTTGACAGTTACATAGACAGATTCTGTAATACAAATGCATAAAATCGGTGATTTCCAATGTGATTAGGTTGTCTGACAAAACATCAACTTGCACAGTTTGAGATCGATTGGGTCATTGGATGAAGAGATATTTACAAACAAACGGGCCCACATGCATTTCATGCCAAACTATAGACACCATCCAGCATGGGTATGCGCTTACCTTTGCCCAGCACATGTCTTTTCCAATGACAAAATACAGACATACATAAAAAATATTTCAAGAGAACAGTCTTTTGCATTTTTGTTATATTTACGACGGATGACATTGACTGAACGGATTTTCTATTTTGAGTTAGAGAAAATACCCATGTAGCATATATCGCATCCAACAATCAATAACTATCTTTTGACATCTAATAACAAACCAGATGGCATCATAATCACCGTAACTCATGTATTTTGTTATGTGAATTCCAAATACTCGATCAACCATAGTTTATGTATGTACATTTATAACGGCGTGCATTCACTTTGGATTGAACATTACTGCAATAACGAAATAATGAAATACGCAGTTTTTCAGGCTCAGAATATTTATTTCAATATTACGGTTTTCCTCCAGTCTGACAGGTTAAGAAAATCAATACAATGGTTTCATTGCCTGCGTGAATCTATATATTTATTTATCAGTACAAACCAACATCAGCATCTGTCACACACTCCCTCTCCACTTCCGTAATACCACATCAACAACACAGACAATCAACTCCAATCTTCTCGATCAGACTCATAAAATATACATTATTTTCATTATACGTTAGTTACTCATGTGAACATATTTTGGCTGACAAGATTAATCTCATTTCGTTCTTGGTACGACTGTTGGATTATGAAATAGTATCCAAGGTTTCAGAGATCTTTGGAAAGACGATTGTCGACTCGATGAAACTAAATGAAGATAGGGTTATATGAACTAGATGACAATATAAATATATGTAAGCGCGGTATGTTGATTTTATGACGGGAATAAAACAAACGTAGTTATGAGATCACGATCAATATCAGTCATGGCACAGCCCGTCCTCTACACAGACAGTCACAAGCCAAAGTACCACCCACACCGCATAGGTGTACATTTGGGTTATGCAGCCAACCCACGTACTGCAAGTGCTTAAAGCAGATTAAGGGAACAAATTAACAATGATCATTTCATTTGCACCTCTTATTTTGGACCGTCAACGAATGCCCACAAAAAAGTTCGTGAGATGTACACTTTCAGCTGTAACCCCATGGGTTCCATCTGACGGTGTTAACACAACGGGGTATGGGCAGGGATAATCATCGGGTTGCTGCACGTGAGAAGATGCTCGGCGAGTTGAGAAAAGAGGCGCGAACGTTCTTGTAGAAGATCCTTGACCTTGGCATGGAGGGCCGTGTTCTTTTGCTGAAGCAGTTCCATCTCCTGAAAAGCACAAAGTATATCAAAGACTAAGCTAAGCTGAAAGTTTGGCTTTCATAATTACGAAGTTCTTTAGAGGCATATAGAAGTTGGTATTCAAATATTAGACAAAATATTATGGATGTCAACTTCTTCTTTATTGTATAACAATATAAAAGAAGTTGCATCCATAATATTTTGTATTATATTTCAAAATTACGTTTTCAAATGTACACCGGTATCGTTCACGCCATAAAATGTAACATGTTATTAATTCAATTTATCTCATTTTAATTTAATCTTATCTATAAAACCCCTTGTGAAAAATTGTGAATTCCGTTTAGACTATACTTTGAGCTTATTATATGAGCCCCATCCAGCCGTCCCCGTCCGCATACGTCGAAGTGAAGTACATGTCAATATATGGTCAGCGAATGGAGAATTTTAAGTATACTTTTCGTCATGGTAACTGGGCTTGAACTGTTTCCCCATGTCGCAGCTATTTATTTCAGTCTGATATTTGCGGGTAACGACAGTGTCTGGATTAACGAGGTTTCCCAAATGTAGAAGTTGCTGACATGTTACTCCAAACGTGTTCTGCAAAAAGTCACTTTCCCAAGCAATATATTTAAATCAGGGCCTGTATATTGAGACAGTATACACTGACTAGTTACCTATTAAATACCTATTTATCTTAACACGCCAACTCACAATTAGCATCAACTGCACGTGCAGCACGTAATTCTATGCATGGAATGCTGAGGTTAAATTTGACGTCAATAACTTCTTCCACGTGATCAAATGACAGTATTTCATTGGACAAGAGATTTTAGCTGCGGCCGACCTGCAGGTGCGCGTCTGTTTCATCCTTCCTCTTCAGTCGGAACCGTTTAGCTGCTTGTCGGTTCTGTTCCTTTCTCTTCCCCCTCTTCTCTATTTCCTCTGCCGTCAGCTGCAGTAACACACGAGACTGCAGGTTAACCAAGCACTAACCATTTGTTTCCACAACACTATTCGTGTTTGTGACCCAAATCGCTAAATTTGTGTAACTTTTAATTATATATACTCATGGAAACGAATAATGTAACACATGAAAGTGCAAGTGTTCCTTTATTCTCTTTCAGGTTTCTTCACAAGGTATGTATTGCTCTGTGTGTGAAATTCTGGAAATAAATAAAGGGACACTTGTACTTTCATGTGTTCCTTATTCGTTTCTATGAGTACATATCTTATATACGTGTAGTGTCTTCTTTTGACAAAAAGCAAATAGGAAATATACAAATCATCGCACCGCATTACGTGAAACATTCAACTGCTAATACAAAATGGTAAAAAAAAAAAAAAAGAATAATATTTTCTGTTCCAGCTCGATTATACCCACGTCGTTGTCATGTTGCTTGAACGTGGGTGACTGCGGCGCTAGGATATATTCACTCACTTCTTGTTTATAATATGTTTTCAGCGAATATTGTTTGTGTTATTATAACAAATGTACTAGTCGTGATCAAAACGCAGTAGACTGTCACAAAACTGTTGTCCCTTTTGAATACTAGTATTTACGTTTCTCAAATCGAATCAGAGTGTACATGTATTTGTCCAGCAGCTAAAACGTTATATATATATATAAATATATGTTTACGGATCGTGTGAAAGCAATATACATCGGTGCAGAGGTTACTTGAATAAAAAAAATAATTTAAAAAGAAATCTAGATCGAAAACTCTGAATGAGGGACGAATGAAAAATAAAGGCACTGGAAGTGTCAAAGACTGACTGCTGAAACCTTTATTCACGACGAAATATCCAGTAGTGTTTTATAACAAAGTGTATTTTCAGTTTGGAAATTCACGTTTTGTAGGCTGAAGGCTGATCAGCATCAAGTGAGTGAGTGAGTATGGTTTTACGCCGTTTTTAGCAATATTCCAGCAATATCACGGCGGGGGACACCAGAAATGGGCTTCACACAATGTGCCCATGTGGGGACTCGAACCCGGGTCTTCGGCGTGACGAGCCAACGCTTTAACCACTAGGCTACCCCACCGCCCCTCAGCATCAAGCTTTCCTTTTAAATCACTACTGATTTAGCCAGACAGAATCACCTGTTTGCAGTGTATCACATCACTATGTAAATAGTTTTGTGCACGGGAACATGGCTGCGTTCATTGAACTAATGTTGGTGATAATGGTCTGGGTAAAAAGCACGATGATATGTTTGTTCTGTAATATTCACACCAATTCATACACAAACTGCAATAAATTTAAAGTAACTTGAAATCGACAATCAAACACACAGCGGTGTTTCAGGATCATACTAAATATAATCTGTTACGTGAATACTGCTGACATCTGAAACAACTATCGAAATCGAAATCGCGTAAACGAAGCCTAAAAACACATATCAATATACTGAGAAAAACAAACAAAGATCAGAGGAAAATTAAAGCGTTCCTTAATTATTTTCCAGTTTTCATCACCACAGCGCTATTCAAAACTGGTGATGTAAACTGGAAAATATTAAAGGAACCCTTGAATTTTCCTCTGATCCTTTATTTGTTTTTCTCAGTATATTGATATGTGTTTTTAGGCTTCGTTTACGCGTGTACACAAAATACGCACGCGCCCCTCCATGCTATGAAAACATACTAAAACAAGAGTACTTCGCATTTATCCGTTTGTTTTAATGAGCGGTGGAATTGTGTATAAACTGAACAAACAATTGGGATCATGAAATGTTCGATATAGCGTACACATAAAAGGAAACTCAACCTCGCGACAAAACTTATCCCCCAGATTCTCCTAATCCCAAACTATTTCTGTTGCGTATATAAACGAGAGGAATTATCTACCTCTGCAGTCGTATGCTGAAGATATCGATTGATGAAGATTGTGTAGACACTGATCAGTAAATTATGGCAAGCGGATGAGAAATGATAAAGTCGCGTAATATCCGTACAGCTTCTACAATCTTATCTACTCTGACCTGAATACAATTATGTTTTCTCACGTCACCTAACAGAAATGTAACACAATCATAAATATATGTAATTAAATATACTGAGTACCCCAGCAATAATATTAATTCTGTTCATCAGTATTAATTATCAACAATGCGAATGACGCAACTTTCGTCATTTCAGGTTTTGGAGAGGAACGATTGTTAGTAATACAATACAAACAAAAGTTAAACAAAACTTTCCCTAACCCTCATTTATAGATATTACGTAGCGATTAATCAACGCCATGACTGTCGAATCACAATATTTTCTTGCTCATGTCAAAAGTCCTGTATTATTACCTCGTGCGAGTGGGAAGTAGAAGTGTTAGAGCAGGATACATTCAGCTCGTCTTTTCCCTCTGTAAGTCTGCGAGACTGTATCTTATATCGGAGTTCCTGTTTCAGGAGGGGTGTGATGGAGTTACTCGCCAACGCCCGCTCCTGGGCGTTCAGCAGTTCCTGGTCCTGAATACAACCAACATCGACATTGCCAGGTAAGTTAAAATCAAATATATCTTCTGAAAACATTTTCAAAAAGGAAGACTGGAAATAACGCGGAATCACGTGTGTGTAGTACCGCCGTGCTGTAGCGTAGCGCCACGCGACTCAACTGTCAGGTCGATGTAGTGCGGTTACTGTTGTTGTTATCGCGCATTAACGCGCGTTACTCTCGAACCCAAGGCTCGTTTGAAGCCACGAATGACATTACGTCAGCAAGGTGAGTCTATTTATAGCAGAACTTGTCGCGGCAGCTCGTGTGGACTTGTCAGACTTTGCTTAGCTTGGCGGGACGAGGCTAGCGGTGTGTCGCTGAACAATCTGTCACAGTGCAGAAGGGCGACTCATGTTTAGCCGACCGCACAAGTTCAATCTACATTTTTTAATATCATGTATCAATAATGATAATAGATAAATCATATTTTTCTTAATCCAGATGGCATACCACAGGGAACAAATATAATCAACTGATTTTATTTGGTTTAGTCGCTTTCCCACCTGGAATCTTGTTACTTGTCGAACTGGTGCATCCTTTTGTCGCTTTATGGGTCACCAAATGCTGTCTATATGGATACAGTTTTTGTATCACACACACACAAAAAATCAATGAAAAGATTAAATAAATATTTATTGACAAATCATAAGTAAAATTAAATTAATTCATTATTCATTAAAGCGGTCTTCATTACATCAATTTGTTTATGCCCAATCTCTACACGTTGTACAGGGTCATCTGGTTTGTGGTCAAATGAAAAGAAAGTGAAACGAAGTTTTTACTTTTTCCGACTTTTCAGGAGATGGATTAAGAACATCCATATTTAGGTAAAGATATTACAAATATCCTGGACTGATTTGCCGCTTGAACATTTGATGTAGTGATATTTTAGTGTTTCATTGAGTGGCATATTAGAAGTTTGGAAGTACAATATAGAACAAACTTTATTGATAACAACTTCTTCTATTAGTGAGTGCGACGTTTCACTACAGATTCTTGTACCGTTGTCAAGCATGGACAATGGTACAAGAATCTGTATAGAAACGTCGCTCTCACGAATAAAAGAAGTTGTTATCCATAAAGTTTATTCTATATTATTTTAGTGTTAATTGAGAACTTCCGATTTATGACGTGTCGACTAACTTAAAATTTATTTTCAAATTTAAACCATTAAACGTACACAGCCATCGCTCGAACGAACTCTCCTCTGATAAACACAGATCACTTTTAAAAGTTCAATGTTGAACCCATGGCTTCGGAACAGTCTTGTTCATACGCCGTGGGTCTTTTACGGCGCTTCTAAAACTGACGAAAGCCTGGCATTTGGACCACTGTATTGAACAAGAGAAACGTCGATATTGATATTTGTGTCGAGTCATTGTTGCTGTAGTTATTGGCTCCCTTCGAGCATTGTAGTGACATGGAACTTTTGTCAACCGTAAAACACCAAACCAGCATATACAGTATTTACAAGACAAGTTCACATTCACGATGCCCTTTAATAAAATACACTAGGTAAACAATTCTTAAGTATAAAATATACAGAACTTATTGCAATGAAGAGTCATTACGTTCGTATCGGAATCATACATCGTTTACGAGTAGAGTTTATGACTCATGAAATCAATAGGACACTTGTTATAATCTGTATTTATGTACATTAAATAGGAATATCCCCCAGTTATGTAATTAGTGGGAACAATTTATGATATCAATAGACGGAGCCAAGCTCTAAGATCCGATCGCACCAGTCCCTGGGTCGCACTGCCTCCTCGTTGTGAGTACATGCTTCAAACTGGTTCTTGGCTGGTCCGCGCCGTACCCGTGTTCCGTGGTGTCAAGCTGGCAGTTGACATCCAACCTGTGTCGCTTTGGGCTTTCCTATTGCTATGGGATACTAGAAAGGAAATTGTCGCGTTGTTGCCCTTGCAAACTCACGTAAAATTTACCAGGCTGGAAATCAACGCGACAATGTTCCTTTTGATAGTCCATAGCGAGTAGACTCACCGTGAATGGTGCACTTTCTGGAAGGTGTTGGCATAGTCTGTGTTTTATTCATGTTATTTCTGGAGATAAAAATCAATTTTAAAACATTTATAGTTAGAATTTATTGATACTGATTAATAACAAATTATAGAATTCGTCCGTGGTGCTCATGTGAAATGGGAACGCATGCCCATGAAAGTAATACTATCCCGCCATCCCCGTCTCATTAATGGAATGTTCTTGTGCATTGACAATGGTCAATTGTGAGTTCTTGTCCAACTCTATCGGTGTCACCACTTATCAAAGTTGGTTTGTCGTTCATGTTTGTTGATTAGCATATCATAACAATAATATGCCTCGCCCGTACTCAAAAGCTGAAACATATTCGCATTAAAGCTATCGGCCAAACATATACTGCGAGGTTTTTACTTTTATCCCACTTACATGTCCTATTTTTTATTCATCTTTTCATTCATTCAATTTTCTGGCCACTGTTTTTGTAGTTTATTTTCATTTTGTTATTTTCAGTTGATAGCTGGTTCCCGTTCTTGTTCAATATCAAATAATCTTTAAGTATAAAATTAACACAATATTCGGATTTAATCATTTCGACGTACATACAGTTTAGCATTTACTCAAAAAAGGTTCTCACTCCATTAGAAATCACTTAATGTAAGTGTGAATTCCTAAACAAAATACGTTAAAAATATATTGATTAAAAATTACGGTTTTTGTATGAAGCTCTTTAAGAGTTTTATATGTCTGTATTAATAGGAGAATCATTAATACCTTTTAAAAACTACCTGTCGAAATTGTCATAGAAAATAAAAACAAGGATATAATTTAATTTACTTTGATTTTTTAACTTTATATTTCCCCGCCTCAAGGCTTTATTCCGAGATTTGAGTTTCATTAACATATTGCCCCAGGATACGCTGAAACACGCGTATCCAATCTTGAATTTGGTAGTGATGTGGTCTTCAGCTGTCTCCCGAAAACCTACTGACAGAAATAACAAATACATTGCCAAGGCACATGTTACCTTTTAGTCTAGCATGTTCCAGTGTACAGTGGGATATGAAGAATATTTATATTGCCTGGCAAAAGAAAGCATAAAAAGACATTCGTTATCACACCGTTATTAGGCTGAAGACAGTCGCCAGAGCACCGTGGACGAAAGGTCAAAACACAACTATTAAATCCATCAATTTCGGAAAACCATGTCTAGTTTGTTTTATTTAAATATAATAACAGAAAGGCCATTTCTATAACTTTTAAATAGACAGGATGGGTTTGTTTGCATTTTCGACACATTTCCCGGATCCCCCATGCAGATATTGCGTTGATACCTTAACCAGGCTCAGATATACATATATAGAGGATATTAATGAGTTCCCATATCATACTATGTTTACGACATGAGGGCCTAAATGTTGGTATTTCCCGAGCGAGAGCGAGGGGTATACCGATATTTAGGCACGAGTGCCGTAAGCCGTGCCGTAAACCGCACAAGTGCCGTAAACATAGTATGATATGGGAACGAATACAATATTCTGTTTATTACCGAAGTTGTAAATTGAGGAAAATACACCCAAATCTACTTTCAAACATAGGCTGGCAACCCGACGTCGCCGCATGTTGAAAGCAACGTCACGAAAAAGTGATATATGAAAAATATGAACTCCGATATTTTCGCCATCGTAGGTAATTTATATATATATATATATATATATATAGTGTGTGTGTGTGTGTGTGTGGTGATCTTTATGGAGAAACATGTACATATCAACTACACCCCCTTCCCATATTTAAATATTCACATGTACAAATCTGATGACCCCACCCCTGCCTCTAGTACGTGTACAAAATTGATTATCGTGGACCCATCGTTGTTTATAAAGAAAGTCACTTGGATGTATGTTCAACACACAAGAAAGACGGTATATGACGGATGAAGCTTTATTTGTGATCCTATAAGATGTGTCCGAGGACTGAAGAAACGTAACAAAATGGTTATCAATCAACAAATTAACAAGTCTGACGCAACACATCATCATACCACGTGACGACAGTGCACGCGCTTGCTTATGACGTCACACTGTTAAGGTAGTATGACTGATATGTCCACAGTTCTCAAAGTCATTAAGCTTATTCATCATAATTGCAGTAATGGATAATGCATGAATATTCAGTATGTCGTCATGACAACAACCCCGCACATGCGCATATCAGTCACGCAAAGGTTATATGTAAATGAGCATGTGATTACGTATTAACAAAATGATAAAATATACGATGTAACACAATCGTTCGATTTTAAATAATATTCTGTCTTGAAAAAATAGTTCAAATCTAAATCTACTTCCGTACATGAACAAGGTAGATTGTTGGAGTTAATCGGCTACAACTACTGTATCTATAATGATACACTTGTCGCCTTCAGCCAACTTTAAACATATCATAAACAACATCCGTATCTAAAACGTTATCTTCCGCTATCCAGGTCCCTCCTCTGGACCAATCACCCAACTTCCGCAGTTCATCAATTTCCACACAAAAATAACAATGTTTGGTTAATTTTATGAAATATGCTGATAAAAGACCACTTTTCGCGATCCTCAAGGGATGAACGTGATGTCTTATAGAAAACAATATTTTCAAACAAAAACGTAAAAACAAACACATAGTTTCATTTTATTACAATGCCCTTTTTCTTTAAAAAAATGGGTTAAATGGGATATATAATGCAAGAACCACGTATGAAAAACTAGCGGCAACGAATAACGAAAGTTAAACTTACGTTGCCAAAGCAACGGCAATTCCGATCTGCTCTGACTGCCGGAATCACACGAGACTGGTATGTGATGACACAGTTGGATAGTTTCTTCCGATAATATTATTGAACACTTGTTGACCACTGTTCCTATACCCACGTGTAATTGTCATGCTCGAGGCTGGCAGCGTTGCCTCGGTAACGGTAACAAAAGCTAGCTATATACAGTGTAGAAAACTGCTAAAGGTGAAGGCTGCTGGTTGACTGACTTTGGCAAAATGTTACTTGGAATGTGTCATACTCACTCGTACACCGGGTTAATTTTCAAAAAGAGCACCAAAAAATATCAAGTTGTTACAAATTAATACAATACAGAAATGATGAGTAGAATGGTCTAATCAA